GCACAGATGTTCTGTAGAGAATCCCTTGAATAACTCTGATTTAATAGTATGTGTTGACAATTCATAAAAAAAAACTAAAAATTGAAGTAAAAGGTATGCTATAATTGATTTCAATTAGCCCTCAAAATATGAGCTTCTCAAATAAATCAAATTGTTTATATGGCTAAATTAATCATCTTCATTTGAAATTATCAACTGACAAAAGATAAAAAAAATAATATATTAGTGGTAAGTATATACTTCGGGGTTAGTCAATGGCTTCAGACTGTTTTGGAAACAAAAAGGTTTCCTGATCTCAACAAGAATCTCTGTTTTAAAAAATTGATGGTAAATGAAAGAACTTTTAGTTTCCTTGAGTTTAGGTAAGGCAAGAATTATAATAAAAACAAAAGGTCATTCAAAATGTAAAGATTTAGAAAGGCAAATCCTTGGAGGAATTCAAAGAAACTACTTTTAACTGTTAGAGATAAACCCTTGATTCAGAAAAGAAGGAGGAGGAGGAAAATAAGAGAGAAGGAAAAGGAAGAAGGAAGAGGGAGGAGGGAGGAAGAAGAGAAAAATTAACACAATATTGTGTGCTTTCGAGATGGCTGAGTGGTAGCACCAAAACATTGAAAATGGAGTTTAGCCAAAACAACAACAACAAACAAACGACAAAAAACCTGCATGGTAGTATCCATGGTAGCATAGATAAACTAGTCACAATACTAAACTAGCACTGGTGGGTAAATTTTACAGCTACTGCTCAGGACATTTCCAAAACATATTCTACCTGCCAACAACTAAATCCTGGTAAAACTGTAAAGGTAGAATATGGACAGTTCCTGAAAATTCTGCAGCTCCCTGAATACCTCCCAATGGACTTTATACAAACACCTGCTGCAATGGGCTATGAATATATTCTTGTTATTGTTTGTTTGTTGTCAGTTGGATTTAAGTGTTATTTACTGGAGCCCTAACTGTAGCAAATTTGAAAAAAGTTTCTTTTCACTTCTACAACTTGGGTAATTCCCACTTCTCTAGTGACAAAAGCACTTAAGAGTATTTTACTAGCATTTTTATCAGCAAACTCTGTAAAGTCCTACCTTTCATTGAGAAACTTCACTGTCTTTATCACCCACAGTCCTCAGGAAAAATAGAGAGAACTATTGGAATTCTAAAGCAAATATTGGCAAAGCTCTCAGAAACACTGAAATTTCCTAGGCTCAAAATATTGCTCTCACCTTGCCATATGACAGTAAGATCAAACTTATCTAGGAACCAAAAGTTATCTCCTACTGAATTAATAGCAGATTGTCTTATGCCTTTGGACATTGCACTTTCAATCCAAAATTCTACCCTGTTGCAGGATTATGCAATTAAATACCCCTGTAATACTTCCAGCTTTATGACCATCAGATACAAGGTAAGTTTGCAAAATAACCAGCTAAACATATCTACATAATCTACAATCTGTAATATGTGTCTTCTCAAATAGGTCCTGGAGAAAAACAGTTTCAGCCTAGCTAGGACAGATCTCACCAGACACTGCTAATAATTGTCATAACCATAAATGCTTGATGCTTTTGATCACATTTCTCAACTTAAAAGATATTAATATTATTATTATTATTTAAAGATTTATTTAGTTAAATGCTGAGTTACACACACACAGAGAAGGAGAGACAGAGAGAGAGAAAGGGGTCTTTCATCTGCTGGTTCACTCCCCAAATGGCTGAAACAACCACAGCTGGGTAGATCTGAATCCAGGAGTCAAGAGCTTCTTCCAAGTTTCCCACGTGGGTGCAGGGGCCCAGGCACCTGGGTCATCTGCTGCTGCTTCCCCAGGCACATTAGCAGGAAGCTGGATGGGAAGTGGCACAGCTGGGACTCTAACCAGTGCCTATATGGGATGTTGTTGCCTCAGGTTACCTGCTACACCACAGCGCCATCCCCACTCACTATGCCACAGTGCTGGCCCCAAAAGATAATAAATTATTTTCTCTTGACTACTGGGATATTCATTTCTTCAAAATACCCTAAATAAGAGTATTATCCTTGTGTCATTTAAGGAGAAAAAAACTTTTCTGTATGTTTTTCCAAAACCATAGCTATCTTGAATTTGACTAATTGCTAGATTGGCTATGGCATCTTTTGCCTAACTTTGTGACTTATACATACACACACACAAAAAAATTCATAGAAAAATGGAATTAAGATAGGTTTATTTTAGTGCAAAAGAAATTTAAAATCCATTCATGTTTTATTTCATAATGTGCATTTTAAGAACTTTTTGAAAACCCTGTGTGTATGTATTATATATATGCAGATATTTCTTGCTACTCCTACATTCTACAAGACAAACAAAAAAATCCCATGATTACCTGGCTCTCCAAACAGACTCAACTGGTTTTATTTCCTGGCTTTTACAATATAGGTCCCTAACTTCAAGAATTGTTTAAGGACCAATCATTTATTTCTGAAAATTTATTGTGTTACAAGTGGACCATCGATCCTGTCAAGACACTTAAATGCTATATTGCTTAGCCCTTGTCGCATCAGAGGATGCAATTCATATTGAAATAAAGGGAACAGGAGAGATTCACCTGAATTCACAACTATAATCTCTAAATAACCTAAATAATCACTTATCAGAAAAATCTCTGCAATGATGAAAACCTACGTATCATGGATTAATTACCATGGCTTTACTTTGTCTGCTCTTGGCTAAAAGGGAGCACTAAAAAAGAGAAAAACAGGGGAGGACATATTGCCCAGTAGTTAGTATGCCACTTGGGACAACTGCATCCCCTACTGGAGTGACTCGGTTTGGGTCCCAACTCCACTCCTGACTACAGCTTCTTACTAGTGCACATCCTTAGAAGCAGCAAGGGATGGTACAGGTGGTTGGGGTCCCTGCCACCCACAAGGATACCCAGATTGAATTCCAGGCTCCTGACTTAGGCCCAGCCCCAGCTGTTGCAGGCATTTCTGTCTCTCTCCCTCTCTGCCATTCAAATAAAATAAAATAAAATAAGGTATATTTCTTAAAATGGAGAGCAACAGCCCCTGATATCCAACAGTTGGTTTGGTATACTCTCAGGCAAGTTTTTGTGCTCTCCTGTTAAACATGAACTATTTCACAGATCATCAAACTCAGATAAGACTACACTAAGACAAAGATTGATTCAGAGGAAAATTATGACCCCTCCCTAATGATATCTGAACACACACACACACACACACACTACAGAAATTACCAAACATCCCCCTAACCTGGAAAATATGAATGGCTGCCACTTCTTTACCAATTATATCCTTTGCCATACTTTAGACTTCTATCCTTCTAAAATTTATTAAGATATTCCTCACATAGAATTGCCCCCCATTTCCTCTCAGTATGCAATATACAGTGAACACCCACTTACTATAGATTCTCCCCCAAACCACACAAATGAAGCCCAAATCCTATAATAAGTCTTTCTCAACCCTCTTACTAACATAGTTCTGCATGATGCATGCTATCCCTGTAATGAATAATAAATCCAACTTGTTCAACTACAGATACATTCTTGGTGTCCTATGGCTGTTTGACATTTACATTCAAAAATGTTATTAACAAAGATTATACAAGACCATAAGTGTAGTAATTTATTAATGAATTGAAAGAGTCAATATTTTAAAAATATTAATTCTCCCCAAACTGCAAAGTCATAATCAAAATTCCAAGGCTTCTGTGTAAACATTTGGGAATGCAACTCTAAAATCTATATAGAAATAGGATATGAATAGCCAAGGCAATCTTGAAGAACAACAAAGCTGGAAGAGTAACATTACCATATATTAACACTCATAACATAATTACAATAAGACAGTGTCATATTGCAAGGAAAAAATTCTGACCAATGGAATAGCATTGAGAATACAGACACAAACCCACACATATTTGATCACCAGATCTATAACAAATGTGACACTACAGTGCTATGATGAAAGGGTGACTTTTTTCAATAAATGGTGCTTGATAAATTGATGATTTGTATAGTATTTTATCATTTACAATATGGTACAAAAGAAATGAATCTTTATTACCATACATCATACTCAAAAGTAAGTTCCAGATGATTTTTAGGTTGCAAAATGAAAAGTAAAACTAAATCTTTTTGGAAGAAAGCATAGAAAAACCTTATTATGGCATCAAATAGGCCCTTTCAACAGAGCACGGTAGTGTCACATTTGTTATAGATCGGGAGATCAAATATGTGTG